TGACGTGAAGATTTAACAGAATAATTGAGTCATTTAATTTGTACTGGCTGCTTAATAAATATGACTTCCTTCCCTCCTCTTTCTCCACCACACGCTGCTCAGTACCATTGTCCAGGTACCAGTGATTTTGTTTTACACGCTTCTTTCTAAGATCCTCATTCTCCCCTCGTCCTGTGGGTCCTGCCTTCATGAGTAGGAGCCAAATGTGTGATTATTTTAAAATCTATCCTCCTCATTCAGAACATGCTTTCTGCGTTCTGTCTACTTAGGTGGGTTGTTCTGGAGAGTTGGTCATCCCACAGATTAATCCATCACGACGTGTTCATAGAAAAGAGCCATGTGTTAAAACAATCCCTGGCAGGTTATAAATTAACTGGGTATCTCAGTCATGATGCTTCAATCAAAAGGCAACAAATCATGGGAAATGCAGACTTAGGGGAGAGAGATGGGCCTTGTAAACTGTCTTTATTTAATGACTATCATCTGGTTACAAAGTCCTGCTTGGTGAGCCCAGGAGTGTTACTCACTGTTTCAGGGTGACTGCAGAACAATCCATGGGCCTCAGACATGGGTCCATGGATGTGTCACTACAAAGTTCCATTGCCCAAGATATCCACTCATGCAATTCACTGTTGTTAAGAAAGGCCCCATAATCCATGACCCACTGCATCTCCTCCGCCACCAAGGAGTGAGGAAGTCATGAGCAGCACACAAGGCAAGGCTGGCATCCCAGTTGGCTGTTGCTGTCTGGCCTTAGCCTCAGGGGTTGACATCGGCCAGGATGACACTGAACACCATTTTCTGTGTATGGAGGCAACTGCCCACCTCACCCTGCCCACTGATGTCTGAAAACTTCCGCAAGGCCACCGTGACTCCCTTCTCCCCCCGAGATCCTATCAGCATGTATCCGAAGGATGCTCATTGTGAGACACGGTGAATCAAGCCTCCTTGGTTGGTTTAATTCTGGGCTCTTTCAAAACATGTAATAATATAAATCACCAAGAGAGAGAAGAGAGATAGCTATAGCTATAGACATAGAGATATAGAGATAGAGATAGAGCTATAAATATATAGATATAGATATACTCATGTGTAAAGAAACAGTACCACCAAAATGTCATGGCAAACATATTAGAAATTAATTACCACCCAAGATTAGGGTGATCTTAAAGGCAGTGCACCAGGTCTTATCCAGTTTCTTAACTCACATGCTTAAAAGTCGAGATAAGAAGAAGGAATATGAATTTGACTGTGGCAGAGAGTCTGGCCGGGGCCACCCAGGAAAGGTCTCACCGGGTCGATTATAGAAAGCCGAGCTTGAAGCAGGTGGGGATTTACTCTATGAGTGTGGGAAAGAGATCAGCTTTAAACCAGGGTACACACAAAACCACCGCTTCCAAACAGAGGAATCCACCTGCAACGGCAGCTTTCTCTTCATTCGTGTGCATTATACAAGACTCACCATGGGTGTCTAAAGCCAAAAAGAAAGCTGAGAGGGAAGGGGAGGGAAACAAAAATGGAAAAGACATAAAACCTAAAACAATGTTTTACATTTATATTTACAGTGGGGGTAACTGCCCCACTGTAATTTCATTGTCACCAGCATGGATGGCCCCTATGTCACCAGGCCTTTTTCCACGCAGCCCCCTCATGAGTTTGAGTTTTCCCTCTCTTTTTAACCCTTCCCCTTCACTTTGTTAGGTGGTTGGCTTGTTGGTTTCACATTCCCCTTCATTACATTGATTCAGGGAAATGGACTAATTTTGGGTCCAAAAGACATGTCCATCTGAGTTCCCCTCACTCGTGTCCATTGGTCATTTCCCTCCCACGCTGCTTTTTTGTATTCAGAAGATACAGGTAATCCCCAGTGCTCCTTGGAGCCATGGGCTCAATCTTCCAGCAGACGCGACTGGCAGCATGCCCCGTTACTAACTACTCCTGCGGCCTGGCACCCCAAAGCTCCAAGGAGGGACGAGCTCCCACAGTAAACCTGCCCCATAACCAGGGTTCTGAGCATGTACAGAAGAGGAGGAGGACAAGTTGAACCTTAGTCCTATCCTTGTTTAAAAACCCTGTCATAGCTCTGGCTTGTGTCGCTCAGTGGATTGAACACTGGCCCGAGAACCAAAGGGTCCCTGGTTTGATTCCCAGTCAGGGCACATGCCTGGGTTGCAGTCCAGGTCCCCAGTAGGGGGCACGTGAGGGGCAACCACACATGGATGTTTCTCTCCATCTCTTTCTCCCTCCCTTTCCCCTCTCTAAAAATTTTTAAAAAAATCTTTTCAAAATAAAAACTGAGTCATAAATACCTTGCAGGATATGCAACCTGGTTCTCCATGGTTAGGCTGAAAAGGAGGAGCAAATAAAGAGTCTGTCTCATGGGGATTCGGGGGGAAGCCCCACAAAAATGAACTGTGTATACTTGCTATCCCCATTAGAGTTCCTTTGGGGACCGGGAACAAGATGCCCAGGTCCTCAAGTCATGTATTCTGTGTTCCCTGACTACATTTAAGAGATCATTCTAGACCTAAGGGTGTTTAGACAGATAGAGTTGGAAGGAGACGTGAAGATGGCTCAAGAGAAGCTGACTCAGTAACAGAGCTACAATCGGGCTCCTTCTCCCTCTCTTCTACAGATAGTACACATGTGCTTTGCCTTTTTATCAGCCATAAGATTTGTCATGGCTAATTCCTCCCTTGTCTTGGATCCTGAAAATGCCCAAGTCTTGCTGAGGCACAGTATCTATGTGCAAAGGAAGGACATACCCTGGTCAGGTTCAGGATTGAAAGGGGCTGGGGGCCAAGCTTTGATGGTGGAGTAGGATTTATGGAGAATCGGGAGTCCCTTCCAGAACAGAGCCAACCAGAAGCGAGTCTGTGGAGAAGCAGGGTATTCCGCGTTTTGCAGGCAACCTCACAGTCACACTGTCCTGGTAGCCTGAGTCGGTGGCTTTTGATCTGAGCCATCTGTAAGTAGCTCCAGTCATACAGAACTCCACAGAGGGTCCTCAGGAGTTTAAAAGAGTGACTTGTTAAGATTACAAAGGAATTAAAACTAAAACCATCTGTCCACATGCTTTGGTCGTTTCCTACAAGAAACCACTGTACTTATAACCTTGTGTCAAAATACACTGTGGTTTCTAAGTTGCATTATTTTCAGTTTCCCTTCCTCTTGATGCATTTCAGAAGATGTTTAAGTTGTCCTCAAGTGCTTTATGGTTTATAAATGGCTAAAATAGCTTAAACTTCACATATTTGTTTTAAAGGAAGAAGATTTATTATGTCCAAAAGCCAATTTTCTATGTCATCTTTGTTTTCACTGAAGAGAGAAGGCATCTATAAGCACAGGAGTTGTCAAATGGCAACTTAACCATCTCTCCATTCATTCCAGAGATTAATTTGGGAATTCATGACCCTCAGTAATTGATTGCATGTCCTTTGGAAACAATTCATGTAGTGTGTATTTACAACCATACTTAAAGTTAAACCTTTGGCATTTCCACCTATGAGGAAAATACAATCTCTCTCAACTAATGAACTCATGTGAATTTCAACCCAGTTGAGAGTATGTCCATCATCAGAATATCTCAGTCCTTTCTGTTGTTTTTGAGATGTAAAGCTGAAATTCAAGGCTGAAGCTTTCTCAGTGTTAAGATCCTTAAACTTCACTTTTTCCTCCCGCTCCCCCAATTTAAAGAAAGCCACAGTATTGTCATTGCTGCCTGATATCTATAAATAAATACATGCTCTTGGGTCCTCTTTTAAAGCTTACCACCAAGCCATCTAATGTTGATGGATCAAGGTTGCAGATACTTATAAATATACAGTATTAGTTCACAAAGCCGTTTGAAAGATCATTGGATGAGGCGATTTTACTTTGGACAAAGTGCTTTGCAATACAGATAAAAATATTTGTCTTAGTCAGCTCAGACTGCTATAATAATACAGCACAGACTGGGTGGCTTAAACAACAAACATTTATTTCTTTCACTTCTGCGGGGTGGAAGTCCGGATCACAGTGTGTGTGTGGTCTGGCTCCGGTGAGTACCCTCTTCTGGACTGCAGGCTCTGTTGAGTACTCTTTGTATCCACACGTGAGAGGAAGACAGCGAGCTAGCTCTTTGGCTTCTTCTAAGAAAGGCACTCATCCCATCATGAAGACTCCACTTTCAGGACCTCATCACCTCCCAAAGGCCCCGACTCCAAACACCATCCCATTGAAGGTTAGGACTCCGACATATGAATTTTGGGGGGAGCAGACAAAAAAGTTCATACAATATTTAAGCAGGTACATTATTATCAAAGATAAAGAGCATCATTCTGTATGAAAGCAGATCACTTTAATTTTTTTTTCCCATTTGTAAATAGACTATGTCCAGCAATGGTAGAGAGGTTTCTCGTTATTTCCACACGGAACCCAGTAACAGGCCCAAGGGGGAAGAACGAGTGGTATTTCAACAGGCAGCAGCCTCCCGCCATGTACCAACAGTTGGTCTGCACAGAGTGGGCACTAGATGATACCGAAGTAATCAGCTGAGGAGTTAACTGGGTTTTTATTTCACTAACTCTGGTACATTTCAATGTCCTATAGACAGACCCCGAGCATTTCTTATCCTATTTATATACATACCAGTACTTCTTAAGGGTGGAAGTGTTGCTCTGAAGTTTGTGATTGTGTGTACATATCATAATCACAAGTACAAGGGAATCAGAGCCCAAACTGCTCGACTTGCCACCCTTCTCCCAACAAGATTTTATACTGGAGCAGAAGGGAGAGACTCAAGTGCCAAAGGAAGCACAGAGAGATAGGAAAGACAACTCAATGCATTACATGAATCCTGTTTTTCCGATTCCTTTGTCAGGTAGTGGGAAGTCTTTCTGAGGTTGGCAATCCCAAGTATTCGAGAACTTAAAACCACTCTTGGAGAGACACCTTGGAGAAAATCTAGGCAGCCAAGCCTCTCCTTCATGAGTTAGGCAGCCCCATTTTGCGAAGAAGAGCTAGACTGTCTCTTTGAACACCCGGCTGTAGGTCATGTGATTGTCTGTGGCCAGGGCATTTTTTAGACACTGCCAGAAGTATGGGTGAGCCTGTGGGTTTCTCGGCCACTCAAGGACAGAACTCCCACAGAGCCTCTTCCGGAGCTGGAGGAACTTGGACTTCTGAAGGGGCTTCTCAAGGAATATCAAGATAATTACATCCACTTTTTCATCTATGAGCCTCTGATGGGATAAGTAAAAGGCTATCTTAAAATTCTCAGTCTTCGCATATTTGTCTGTCATCACAAACACTGTCTTTTTGCTAAGCTGTATGCTCTGGGACAGGTTTTCCAGAACTGGCTGCCCTGGTAACCAGTCCCTTTCCTCGAGACATAAATTAAAATGTTTCTCTCTTGGGTCTTCCAGTTTGGCCACCAGCTCATCCAAAACCCACTCTGTCACTGCTGGGTCTTTAGTGTCATATACAATAAAAGCATCATAGCAAGAGTCTGGGGATATCAGATGTTGATACCCCTTTATTTTGGCCTTGCAGAAATGGTAACTATACCACACATCCCAGAAATAGAGGTGGCTTGCTGTCATAACCACCATTAGAAAGAGAGCTGCTGATATGGAGAGAGAGAACAGAATCAAGTTAGTCAGATCTAACTCACAGGTATACAGGTCCAGAGAAACTACACTTTGGCCCTTGTGTGCTCCTGGCCCCACACAAGTCACATCCGTAGCCAAGTTAGGAATAGTCACCTCGGTATTGTTAACCCACCAGACAAACCACACGGCATCACAGGTGCACAAAAAACGATTATGATGCAAAAGCAACATCTCCAGGTTGTTGAGGACATTTTCTGGAAAGCTAGTCTTTTGGATCACCTGGATTTTATTTGAGCTGAGGTCCAGGTATCGCAACTGGAAAGCACCTTGTAGAAAATACTTTGTCAGATACCTAATTTGATTATTGTGAAGAATGAGTTTCTTGAGGCTGCTGGAACAGTTGGATAATTTATCCGGGAGACTTTTCAGCTGGTTGTAGCTGAGGTCCAAAGTTTCTAGATGCTTCAGATACAGGAGATTTTCCCAACAGAAATGTGTGAACCTATTTTTGACCAAGACAAGAGTCTTTAGATATAGAGGCATACCATGAAAAACTCCAGTAGGCATGAAACTAAGGGAGTTTGCAGAGATGTCTAATTCCTGTAAGTTGGTCAGATACTTGAAGAAATTGAAGTATCTGTCATCGCCATCTCTCCATAAGACATCTAAATGATTTCCTCTGAATTCCAGAGTTATGAGAGATTCGCTCTCCATGGTCCTGCTGGTGGAGGTAGAGATGTCGTTGTCGTTCATCATCAGTTTCTTGAGAAACCTGAGGTTCTTGGTAAAGTTTAGCATATGAGTAATTCCTTCTGATTGAAAATAATGGCTGTTACTACTTATATCTAGAACTTCCAGTTTGTGTAGCCCCTCAAATGCTGTGGAATAGAGTAAATCAAGCCGGTTGTTAGAGAAGTCCAGATATTTCAACTCCTCTAAAGGCTGAAATTCACTGCCATTAAGAGCTTGGCCAATACTATTTCCTGACAAGTTTAGGCATTTGAGGAAAGAAAGGTGCTGAAAATCAGAAGACCTGATAAAAAATATATTATTTTTACTTAGGTCCAATGTCTGCCCATAACTGTAACACTCTTCACTAAAATGCGAGAAAGAAGGGGTTTCTTTGTTTTTGAATCTGCAACTCCTTGCATACTCATCATATCTGAAATAATGTAAGGCTTCAAAGACCTGGAACCCATGAGCTCCTACAGAAGTTCTGGTGTTAGAACATGAGCCAACTTCACTTGGATCTCCCGAAGGTGATATTTTATTCACTGAAAGATCTATCACTTTCAATGTTTTAAATTGTTCAAATATGCTGAGGTTAGCAATTTTGATAAAGTTAGTGCCAAGATCAAGAACTTCAAGTTTGGGGAGAGAAAGTAATGGGGAGAGGTTAAAGAATTCCAGCTCCTTAAAGACGTATCCTTTGATCCGCAAAACTTTCAGGTTTTTCAGTGAAGAAAATGCATCTGATAGTTTCATATATTCACGATAGACCTGAAGTTCATAATTGAAAGACAGATCCAATTGGACAAGGTTGTGAAGATAATAAAGAAATTTGGCATCCGCAATTTCTTTAGCCAAGAAGTTTTGGGAAAGATCGAGTTCTTTAAGTTTGTTAAGGTTTCTAAACCATTCTTGGGGCACAGATTGAAGAGAGTTACTGTGTAGACGTAAAATTTGTAATTCTGTCAATGCATCAAAAGCATTTATATGGATCTGTAGGGCAGAATTATTTTCACAGGGCGTACAAGGAAATGGGACATTATAACAGCGAGGGCAGTTTCCACTTAGATCAAGAACTTGCAGTTGATTAAGGTCATTAAAATCATCTTCTCGGATTTGTGCAATCATGTTGTTGTAAAGATAGAGTTCTGTTAGAGTAGGGGGCAAAATAGTGGGAACGGCTGTAATATTATTATCTTTTAGGGAGAGCAATTTTAGATTCAGCAGTTTTCGGAAAGCATCTTTTTCGATGTAAAACGAAACATTACAGGGATTACGATAATAACAGTTTTGGCCCAGGTAGAGTTTTTCTATGTTGGTCAATTCTGTTAGATTATTTGTGTTGATAGAGAAGATGTGGTTAGCCTCAAGGCTCAGCAGCTGTAAGCTGGGAGGAAGATCCTGTGGTATTTCTAGAAGCTGGTTTCCATCCAGGTAAAGGGATTTTAAATAAGTGAGTCTAGAGAAGCTTCCGGGTTTAATCTGCAGGCTTTTGTTGCAAATGTTGTCTTTTGGCCCCAGTCGAATAGGTACACAGTTGCACCTGAAATCGATCTCTACCAGCCGGTCGAGCTGGCGGAAGGAGGCTGGAGAGATGTCTGGTATGTGGTTGATGGTCAGGGTGAGGTTAGTGGTGTTGGTGGGAATACCTCCAGGAATCTCTGTCAGATGCTTGTCTGTGCAGTCTACAATCACTTGGGTGTTTGGATCATTCTGACTGACGTCACAGGGCAGAGTTTTAGGAAACCATCTAGCCCCAAGTTTGGAAATTAGGATCATGTTAAGAAGGAGAAGCAATGGCCTCTTCGATGTCCACATTGGAAACACCTAAAAGTTTAAGAAAGAACAAATCACCATTCTAAAATATAACAAGAATCAGAATTAAAAATCCCCACTTGCTACCTCTTTTTTGCTACATTTTAAAATAAAAAACTCAGCTATTTTCTCAATTGTCTAAACAGCACCCTTCACCCATGACTGCATTTGTCAGTCACTGAGGTTAATTATAATTTAGCTGCATATTTAGCTTTTAGATCCTTAACTTTTCAGTTACATAGCTTTTAAGGCAGTAGAAGGAGCCTATTCATCGTTATCTAAATGCTGTCAAGGTCTGAAACTTGATGGGTGAAGGAATGTTAAAATACAAATATACCTGGGAAGAAAAACACATTAAGACTTTACTACGATTAATGTTTGCTGGCTAAACCTGCTCTGATACACATTACAAGAGTCTTTCACAATATTTGAGCCTCTTAATATTTTAAGTAGAGAAACAAAGGAGATCCATTAGGCTCGTTTTACAGATTAAGACACACATAGCTCAGTGACATTAGCTGATTTGCCCAAGGTCACTCAACTGCTGCCATTTTGGCACTGCCAGTCTATACACTGGCTTTCCTCTTGGATTTTTTGGGAAATCATCTGCAAGGGGATTCTGGGATGAACATTGTCCTTACACATTGAGTTTACATTACATAAATTTGGAAAGGAGTAGAAAGTCAGGGCACTGCCTGCATGATCCCTAACTGGTCAAACAGGATCGAGACTTATGCAAGTCAAAGCAGGGAAAGCTGTTAATAATTATGCCAGCTCTGACGAGCTTGGCTCAGTGGGTTGGGCGTAGTCCCTGAGAGTGAAAGGTTGCCGGTTCGAATCCCAGTCAGGGTACATGCCTGGGTTGCAGGTTTGGTCCCCTGTCAGGGAGCATACAAGAGGCAACTATTCAATGTTTCCCTCACATCGATGTTTCTCTCCCTCTCTTCCTTCCTCCCTTCCCTTCTCTTTAAAAATAAATAAATAAAATCTTTAAAAAAGTAATTATGCCAAAACTATAAGCATAAACCGTTACTCTCTCAGGAAAACTGGCACATATGGGAACCTACTAGCTTCAATGGTGACTCTTGGGCATTCAGGTTTAACACGAGAGACACTTGGACCTTGGGGAGAAAGACCTTAAAAAGAAATATGGGAAGCACCGAAGAACTTTACTAGTCACCATAGTACTTTGAAGTTGCCCTGCCTTAGAGGGTGGTTGAACCATGAACTTGCTCTCAAGTTTTACGATTTCTATCAATATTCTACTCCAGAACACGAGTTTTAGTTTAACTGGTGCTTATCTGGGGAATGATCCAGCCTGTGTTTCTACACCAGATTTCTTGTTCAACTAATGTTTTGTTCTCCTGATTAACTGAATCAAACAATCATCTTGATATCTCGTCAACTGAACGCCTACTTCCCCTCATTCCTCTAATAGGAGGTAAATCGGTGAAATTTCCCTCAGCTTTCTTTTTCTCTAGTGCAACATGGTTCGGAAGGATCTCACAGAGCTTCTTCGCGCATCCTTGCATGCCTGAAGTTTGTTGGAATTAGAGGTACAATGCTGTGTGTTTTTTTATCTTTCACCACCCTGTCTCTTCCTCCCCATCATAAAAACCATTCACTGAGTCCAGTTGACCTTCTCTGTCACTCTTTTTTGAAGTATATTTTACTGGTTATGCTATTACAGTTGTCCCAATTTTTCTCCCTTTGTCCCCCTCTGCCTGGTACCCCCCTTGCTTCCTGCAGTCCCCCCTACCTTAGTTCCTGTCCATGGGTCATGTGTGTAAGGTCTTTGGATTCTCCCTTCCTACACTATTCTTAACACCACCCCCCACCCCATCTATTTTGTTCCTACCAATTATGCTTCTTAGTTTCTATACCTTTTCCTCCATTCTCCCCCTTCCCTCTCCCAGCTGATAACCCTCCAAATGATCTCCATACCTATGATTCTGTTCCTGTTTTGATTGTCTGCTGAGTTTGTTGTTGTTTTTTAGATTCAGTTGTTGATATTTGTGAGTTTGTTGTCATTTGAACGTTCATAGTTTTGGTCTTCTTTTTCTTAAATAAGTCCCTTTAACATTTCATGTAATAATGGCTCAGTGATGATGAACTCCTTTAACTTGACCTTATCTGGGAAGCACTTTACCTGCCCTTCCATTCTAAATGACAGCTTTGCTGGATAGAGTCGTCTTGGATCTAGGTCCTTGCTTTTCATCTCTTTGAATACTTCTTGCCTGCAAAGTTTCTTTTGAGAAATCAGCTGATAGTCTTATGGGAACTCCTTTAGAGGCAACTCTCTGCCTTTCCCTTGCTGCTTTTAAGGTTCTCTCTTCATCTTTAATCTTTGGCATTTTAATTATGATGTGTCTTGGTGTATTACTCTTTGGGTCCAACTTGTTTAGGATTATCTGTGCTTCCTTTCTTCACCAAATGAGGGAAATTTTCTTTCATTATTTTTTCAAATATGTTTTCAATTTCTTGCTCTTCCTCTTCTTCTGGCACCCCTATGATTCCAATGTTGGTACATTTAAAGTTGTCCCAGAGGTTCCTAAGCCTCTCCTTGTTTTGTACTGTTTTTCTTTTTGAACTCTTGTTTCTTTTTTCTGTCCTGGTTGAATATTTATTTCTTCCTTTTGTTCCAAATTGTTGATTTGAATCCCAGCTTCCTTCCCTTTACAGTTGGTCCCTGTATATTTTTCTTGATTTCACTTTGTGTAACCTTCATTTATTCCTTTATTTTTTTGCTGTACTCAATGAGTTCTCTGAGCATACTGATCACCAGTGTTTTGAATTCTGCCCCTGATCAGTTGGCTATCTCCATTTCGTTTAGTTCTTTTTCTGGGGTTTTGTTCTGTTATTTCATTTGGGCCATATTTCTTTGCTTCCTCCATTTGGCAGCCTCCTTGTGTTTGTTTTTGTGTATTAGGTAGTGCTGCGTTCACTCCCTGTCTTAGTAGCAAGGCCTATGTAGCAAAGGCACCTGTCTGGATGAATGTGGCTTCTTTAAATCCTTGGTTGTCAGACTTCCATATAGCTCAATTTTCTGACGGTTCTGGGTGTTATTTGTTTTTGAGATCTAGTAGTAGTTTTTTCCTTGGTTGCACAAAGAGGTGAAGCATGTCTACCTATACCTCCGTCTTGACCAGGAGTCTTCACTGTCATTCTTGACATCCTCCTTGCTTTGTTTTGTCATTTTAACTTCCACAATTTCAGCTGAAATGATTTCCTCTTTGGTCCACTCCAAAACCTCATCCTTGTCTGCAGGCTCTCACTCTTCCAATCTACCCCATACGTTGAACTTTCTAAACATTAATCAGATTTCATTGTCCTCAAATCTTTAGTATGGTTTTCTTTTTTTTTTACAAAATGAGCCCTACCTTTTTATTATGGCATCCAAATTCTTTCATAACTTTCTCCCTAACAATTTGTCTAGTCTTACCTGATATAACCTCTCTATCAGCTCCTCTAATCACTATATCCAAGCCGAGCTTGGTGTCCCTTGGCTCACAGATGCCCTCCACCTGAAATACTCTTCCCTGCCATTTCCACTCATCCGAATTCTAGTTATCCTTTAAGACTATACTTCTAAACCTGGAGCTGTCAAATCCTTGGGAAGATATTGCAATCAGCCAGCGGGTACAAGAAGCCCTTAGATAAGTATGGTATATATTCCTTGAGCATCAATCTTACTCAAATATTTAGGAAAAATGTTCACCACTGAGGGAGGAAGGGTCAAGTCAAGAAGGGGGAAGGGCTGTAGAAGGGGGAAAGGAAAGAAGTAAAGTAAGCTATTTGTATGGTCCCTGATAGTAAGATCCCACACCAGCCATGCTTCTATCAGAAGAAATAATATGTTCATGAACTCCACCATCAGAAGGCAATAAATAATGCTTCTATGAGTGATATTCAGGATCAGGCATGTGAGGTATTATCAAAATGGATTAAAACCAACAACAACAACAACAACATATGATGGACCAGATGCCCTCTTCCGATCCCATTCCCACAAACATAGATGACGCCCTGGGAAGAAGTGGGAGGATCCCTGAATTAATGGAATTACAAATATGAAGTGATTGAGACAATGATCATCAAACTGAGTTTGTCAGGATATGCCTCGTTGAAGTATTTTTTGTGATCAGCAGAAATGGAGGCTCTAAGATGAAGAAAGTTGAGTTATGGTAAAAAGAAATATAACAGTGGTGCTGGTACACGTCTAACAAATGGCTTTCTTTCTCCCCAACCCCCAGTCTCTGATTTGTTAATATACCTGAGACAAAGACTGTGGCATTTTTAGCCTCTATACACAGACACATTATAAAGTAGACTGGAAAATTAGAGTGTTTTTTCTCCCTTGTGTCTACACTTTTTCTGGCACCTGTCCATTTTTCTCCTAGTCTACTACCATCTCCCTTCTCCAGTTAGCCATTAGCTCTCATGTGGACTACCCCACTAGACTCTAAACTGGTCTGTCTCCCTGTTTCCCCTTCTCTACAATTCATTCATCAAATAGCATCAGAGCATTCTTTATAAACATGAATCAGATCAACTACAATGAATTCCTATTACACCGGGAATGAAATTCAGAGTCTTTACTGTTGCTTAGGTCATGAATGTCTTGAGTCCAGCCTACCTCTCTGCCCTAGAACTATCTTTGCCCTTCTCTGACCACACACCAGACATCTGACCTGTTTTCTGTTCTGCATTTAAGACAGTCTTGGCACTTGCTGTTTCCTCTTCCTGAAATGATTATCATCTTCCTCTTCCCACAGCCAGGCCATTCTCATCTTTTAGGTGTCTGCTTCAGTGACACATCCTTGGAGAGGCTTTCTTTGGCCAAATTATCAAAATTCCCCCTTCCCATGTAATAATAGTGACAACGACAGTAACATTTGTTAACTTACATAGTACTTACTCTATGCTGGGCATCATTTTCAGTACTTTACATATGTAAACTCATTTAACTGTCATAATAACCACATGAGGCGGTACTAAAGGTCCTCAATCCTTATCCTGAAACTTTGGGGCTA